TATATATATATATATATATGTATAAGCGCCCAAGTATTCAGGTATGCCACTCAAGAAAAGTTAGAGAGAATTGGCTATGGACAGTAAATATATCTATGAGTGAAGATTTTCCCTCAATGACAGAGTTTAGAAAATTCCCTCAGGAGAGTATTTGAATTATTTTTCCAACCATGCTTCTTGTTGGCACTTCAGCTCACTCCTCATGGTATTACTGAGGTCCGATGAGGTGTTGTAGGTCCCTTGAACACCTGTTGGCATCACACACCATGAGTTGCCACTTCATCCGAGTGTAGCGTTGACCGATTCTGCATTTTAACACTTGCTCATTGCTGATATCCTAAGTGCCCAGGGATCCAATGATCAGCACATGAGTTTGGACTTTGTAACCCCCTTGCTCTCAATGTACTGGCCAGAGGGGCATAGTCCTCCAGCTTTCGAGTTCACGTATTGTCGAAGAGCTCTCTGATGTCCACTATGAAGATCTTCTTCTAGTCCTCACTGGTGATGGTGATGTCTGGCCACAGCTGGCTGTCCTTCCTGGGGATGGCAGAGTTCACAGAGCCCCACATGTGGCAGGATGGCTCTCACCAGGCAATCTTGGATGGCATTGTGTTTCAGCTGCCAGGCTCTGGGGAGGGGCTTCCTGCTACACAAGACATGGGGTAGCTTGTTAGAATAGCCACACTTCTTGCATCTGTCCTGATTCCTGTGGTGGACAACTCCATACAGTGAGATGCAGTTGAGCCAAGCACAGTAGATGAACTTCCACTTGGCAAAATGGGTGAGAGTGCCCCTGGGGAGGAAGTGGCTGCTGGCATCCCATTTGCACATCACCTCAAACACCTTGTCCTGGCTTATGTTTCAGGTTTTCTATGGTCTGGCACTGGATGAAATCCTTCAGGATCCTCTCGAGAATAGTTCTGGCTTTCAGAATTCCCTGTTCTTTACCTGTAGCACTAGGACTCCCAGCTCCTGGCATTCCTCTCTATGTCTAGCTAAGATGCTTCTCCAGCTGTCGTGTAGCATTGCGGACACAAGTCCAGAGTGAAGCAAAGTCTCCTCACGTTCTTCCAAATTCACCTTCCAGGGAGCTGCCCATGTAGGTGGTGAAATCTTGATTGGAGGGGGTCCAAGCAATTCACTTCTTGACAGCATCCTGCAGAGTACTACACTCAAAGGACCAAAATCAGACTTGACAACTCTGAGAGCTATATTTACTTATTTTCTTTTGGTGGGTGGAAGAAGAAGTTTGCTTCACATACTTCTTTTTACTAGAAGTGACAATTGCTCACTACTTACTGTTCTAATAATTTTTCCGCTAGTACACATTATTGATCCTGCAGCTGCAAGACCTCTCTCTACCATCATGTGTAGACTTGCAACCAACCTGAGCTATATGAGGTATTCTCTAAATAACACTTGACAAAGTACATTAAATTCTACACTGAGATGCTAAAAAATGAGTACTCAGAATTAATCACCTCAATCCATAGGAAGTCTCCTATATGAATAGACTTATTCTCAAGAATGGTGCATATCCAACTCCTAATGGACAATTACCTAACTTTAAACACCTGTTTTTTTTTAAATCTTATCAAATGGCCAGATTTTGACATTAGTTACACTGGTATAAAATATGAACTCACACCATTAACTCCAATGGAATTAACCCCTACATTCAGTGGTGTTACTGACATAACACACAGTGTACCCATATTCTGACATCTCACACTTTTCCATGGCAGTCACTTCTAAGCGCACGTTCAATACCTAATATTTTCAAAGGTTGAAATGTGCACCACTCACCTTCCGTTGCTTTACAGAGTCCAGTTTTATCAGCCAATATGAAGCCACGTTTGTTTTATGGAATTTCCAATTATCCATTATCTGTATTAGTTTAAAAACAGAAGATAGAAACAAACATGTATACAGAGTGGAATCTGACATTTCCAGTAAAAATATTACATTGATAAAATACTTAATTTTACAAACAAATCCAACATTTTCTGCAAAAAAATAATTAATTCTCTATAAGAAATGGAAGAATGTCTACAAATTTAGGAAAAAGGGTAATGACTTTGAGCCAGATCCTGTTCTACCTAATCATGCCAATATAGCAGTGCAACAAAAGCATGGAGGTGGGCACACAGTTCAACATTATATAAGCACTGTTTATTCTAGTAAATACGAAGTTTTGCGCTTCATATACGTCATTAGATATAACTTAAAACATCCTTCCTAATAATCATATAAATTTTTTTATTTTTCCTTTAGTTACATCCAAATATTAAAGTACTGTTAACTTATCTTTTTAATTTCTTGCTATTCTACCCTTTTGGCTATATTCCAGATAAGTACCTGTTAACATACCTATTAACAGTTAGTCTATAAGGTGCCACAGGACTCCTCGCCGCTTTTGCAGATTCAGACTAACACGGCTACCCTTCTGATATTAACATGCCATTACTTTGTTATCTGATCTTTCAATCTTAATATTCTTATTTTTCCATCAGAGTTTGCTAAGTGACTATGCAATAGGATTTTACAATAGGAAAGTACATTGTCATGCTTAATGTTATATCAGAACATGCCAGTAGATGGAGTACATTTCAAAGAAAATGTTGAGGAAGCATATTACTTTAAAGTATAAATCAGAAATAGCCCAGAGGGAGAAACCTCAGTGAATTATTCAAGTTATGCCTCAGTTCCTAACCAGGCAAAACTTCAATCCAGTGTTTATACAAGTATCAACAAGAAATAAATGCAACTGCATTTCTTGACCGTGTAGTTCTTGAAATACATCCATAGTCATGAATGAGAAACTGCACTTCTTGAGTGTGAATATTGTTATATGGAATATGGCAAAATGTACACAGCATGTGCATTAAGCTGTTTGTAGCTAAAAACTTGTAGTTTTCTGTTTTTCCAAATTAGCAAAGTGCACATTCCTCATTAATCATTTCGAGATTTTTAAACAAGACCACCTGAGTTATTCTGAATACAACGAATGCAGCTTGGACGTCTTTACTGACCACAATTAGGCTGAGCCAGTCTTACCACCTCTAGGACATGCTCTCATCTATTTCTGACAGCCTTCTTCTAAATGGTGAAATGGGTTAGATGGTAACTGGAAATATGAGTCTTATTAAATGAGTGAATTAAATCTACCAGGAATTGATGGGAGAGAGCAGAAAGGAAACTCACGCTTGCCTTCATAATTGTCAGTTTTAAAATTGTGCCTGTCACAGATCTTAGCCTTTCTGGCCAGGCAACAGAATTACTGTGGAGGGAATAAAAACCTCTGTGTTCTGGAACCTTGAGGTGTTTCAAACTCCTGGAGCCTGAATGGAGTCCAGCCACTGTCCCAATCACAGGCTCCTTAGCCAAATTTTCAAGGCACAGACCACCTATCTGGCACCTGTTCCAAATGTCAGATCTGCCTGTCTAACTGCCCAGCATCTCTTGGTGCAGTGCTAACCCTGTGCATGCACCCCTCTCTCAGGACTCCACCCAAAAGGTATATTGCTTCTAGTTTAGTTTAACTCACTAGGGGCACAAGATAGTTGTGAAATAGTTTGTGGTTCCCCCTACCCAGTACTCTCTGTCTTTATGCTTTTTTCTATTTAATCATGTAAAGCACAGAAAGGTACAGATCACACAAAACAATAAAGAGCCCTTCAGTAGCTCACCCTTCCTTCAGAAGGCTTTGGGGGATCATCTGAGCTCAGTCAGGGCCATTCTCCTCCGTGACCACCCTATCTTACTGTGGTGCTAAATGGCTCTCTTGCCTTCAGTTCCTCCCTGTGAATCCATTTAGAGACTCCTTCCTGTTAAGGTCACCTGCTTCTTTTGATCTGCTCTGGGTCATTTTTCATTACATTCCAAACCCCCTTCCCATCAGAAAAGAAAGTGTCTTTTCCCCGCCCATGCAAACCCACTGCCATAAGTGACTCGTGGTACAACTCAGGAGGTACACTCCCTCCCCCGTGCCCTTGCCAAAATTTTATTTGCTAAATGAGATGCCTCCTCATACTCCATCCCCGTTCTTCTTGGTGGCTCTTACTGCACCCCCTCCTCTGCAGGCACCAGATGCCTATTATTTTACTTAGAAAAATTATTATTCAGCCACATTTGTATCTGGCCAGGCAGAGACATAACATAATGCATGATTGAGTGCCACACATACAGTCATTCCATGACAAAGTATTTTCAAGATACCATCTCACAAAATTAGCCAAAATTCAGAAATGGTATAAACAGAACCTCCAATTTGTCACCCTTCCCAAATACTTTGGGGGTGAGCACCACAGAACTACACATAAAAGTAGCATAAATAATAAAAATGTGAAACACAGCCTTTCCCCATACTTTGTAACTCAGAAATAACTGCAGGGTATTAAGCAAATGTACACACAGACACACACACACACACACACACACACACACCATCTACCCCAAACAACAAGGATCCCCTTTTGGTAAGGGAACAAACATAAACTAAGAGCACAATCTTTCAGAGAATTGCAAAATCCTGAAAAAGGACGCGTGATGAAAAGGCCTCAACTATAACAATTTATACATTACATTGTAACAAGTAAAAAAATGTAGTTGAAATATTACTATATTACCTTACTAGATTTATTAGAACTTGTAGAAATGTTAGGTGGAATAGTTTTCCATCAGAAACTGCATTTTAATTCACACCTACATGTTTCATTGGAACATGTTGACAAAATTCTCAATAGGAAAAAAGTCAAAACAAATCATTTAGAATTTCTTGTTTCTTGTTTCATTTTGACAATGTCAAATCTTTCTTTGAATAAAGGTAAACTGTTTTGTTTCCACGATATTAAAATAATGGATTTTAATATTCTATTTATGATTATTGCATTATATATAATGCTCTGATATTACAAAATGTTTTACCTAATCAACATGACACCTTTCAGTGTTCCCAAATCAAGTGTTTTCAGCATATTGTGATATACTAGGACCAGGAAACAGGGGAGAGCGATGTAAACTCTAGGCTAATTAAGGTATTGTTCCCTGTAGACTAAGGAAGGCTACTACAGGCTAACTGAACCACCTGTAGCCAATTAGGTCCCTGGCAGGAACATAATGTGATACAGCAGGCTAATTAAGGTGTGGTTCCCTGTAGACTAGGGAAGGTTACCATAGGCCAATTGAAGCACCTGTAGCCTATTAAGACCCTGTCATGAATCTAATAACACCCCCCCCCACACACACACACCAGATGGACTAGAGTTTGGAGGTGTGAAAGGCTGGTGAGTTGGAAGACCCTGTACTGAGAGTGAAAGCCCAAGGATAACCCTACACAGGAGAGGGAGAAAAAGAGGGTAAGAAATGTGCAAATATGGAGAGGGCCTGGGGCTCAGACCCCCTTTCCTAGGTCATTCTTACTACCTTCTTGGCTGCTAGCAGGGTTTCTGACACCATCAGGGGGCTCCCCCCGGACTTGGAGTTGCCAACCCCATCCGAGGCCTGGTTCAGCCCGCCTGGGCCAGCCCTTAAAGTACAATGCCCCTCTTAGGGGAAATACGGCCTCCTGGCCTAGTCCTCCGGATGACAGCTCTGCAGTCTAGTCCTCTGGCTGAGCTTCCCACTCGCCGGGGTTCTGGGCAGGAGGGGTGGTCCCTCCCCGCCAGGCCCCGCCCCAGGGCCCTGTCAGTGGTGGGTGGCTCCCACCACTGGCTCGGCAGGGGCTCCTCCCCACAACACACAGAGCCCTCAGGGGCTTTTCCAGCTCCCTGCCCTGGGTGGTTTCCTATCCCCTGCCCCTGGCCAGCTGCGGTCCCAGCTGTTGGCGTTGGTCAGGTGGCTGTAGCGGCACTTCCCCCATCAGCATCGGGGTTGGCGGTGTCCGGCTCGGTGCCTGGGGTGTCAGCCGGTGGCTCCTTTGTTGGGGTCGGGCCTGGCAGCGGCGCATTCAGCCATCCCGTCAACTCCCTCCTAAGCAGTTGGGTACTTCCCCACCTCTAGCCATAGTCTGCCCCTTCTGAGCAGGCCAGCAGCCTTTTATACCTATGCTCCCCTTGGAGCATGCCCAGTAGGGCTGTGTGGGTGGGGCCCTCTCCGCCCCCGGCAGCAGGTGGTTTCCCTGGGCTTGAGTGCGGGGCGGGGCTGCCCCGACACACACCCCAAGAGCAGGGGCAAGGATTTGCCAAGAAAAGCATAGACTCAGTATTGACACTGGCCATCCTGCCATGTGTGGAGTTAAGAGTGAGATTGCCAGATAGGTAATCAAGGATGGGTCGATGATAATGGCTTTGTGAGCCCAGAGGTTCCATGAATGGTAGTAGAGCAAAAACTAGACATGGTGGTTGCATAACCCTCAAATGGTTATGCACGGAGCTCCTGGTGCTGATGAGGGGACTCCCTGAGGCCTTAGAGCCTGGATAGGCCAAAATGACCCCTCCAACTCATTACAAACTGATTATACTCATAGGCTATGTCTACACTGGAGGGTTGTTGTGTCAGAAGTATGCAAATGAGGCTAAGCATGGAATACTGCTGAGCCTCATTTGCATACCTGAGCCGCCATTTTTGTAGAAGAGGCTCTTGTGCTAGAAGGAGCTATCTATACTGCCCCTTCTTGTGCAAGAAAAACCTTCTTGCACAATGCTGTTATGCTGACTATTTTCAGGAATAACGGCATTGTGCAAGAAAAGCCCTCTTGCGCAAGGAGGGGCAGTGTAGACCGCTCCTTCTAGCGTAAGCCTCTTCTGCAAAAATGGCAGCTCATTAGATAGGCAAATGAGGCTTGGCAATATTCCATGCTTAGCCGCATTTGCATACTTCTGGCACAACTGCCTGCCAGTGTAGACATAGTCTCAGAGAGACAATGGGCAACTTGTGAAATGTTTCTT